GTGTAATAGTAGACTATACGGTCTGGGTTTGTGTAAGCACACTGTGTGAATATCACACAGTAGACTGACTAATGATGGCCAGGTGCCAGGTGGCTCATGCCTGTAATCCCAGCTGCCTGGGGAGCTGAGATCAGGAGGATCACAGTTCAAGGCCAGCCCAGGCAAAAAGTTCATGAGACTCCAACTTAACCAACAGATGGGCTCAATGGCACCTGCCTGTCATCCCAAGTTATGTGGGAGACTGAGATCAGAAGGATTATGGTCTTAGGTCAGTCTGGGCAAAAAAAACCGGACAAGACGCCATCTCAACAGAAAAAACTAAAACTGGGTGTTGTGGTGCATGCCTGTCATCCTAAAAGAAGAGCATTACAGTTCAGGCTGGCCTAGACAAAAAGCGAGACCCTACCTCAAAAATAACCAAAGTAAAAAGAACTGGAGGCATGAATCAAGTGGTAGAGCCCCTGACTAGCAAGTGCGAAGACCTGAGTTCAAACCCCAGTATTGTCCCTTCCCACCAAAAGTTGCCTAACGATGCATTCCTAAGAAAATCTCCCTGTCTTTAAGCAACACATGATTGGCTGTATTTGAGCATCTAAATTGCCTTAGCATGGGTTCCTTCCGAGCACACTCTGATGCAGGATTTGAGGACATGAAGGTTAAGAAATAGTTCAGAGACAGCTTACTGTGGAGCTGAAGAAAGTATTTGGAATCACCTAATTTTTCCACATGGGACAGGAATTGGTGGAAATGCAATATTATGTTGTAATACCACCAATAAAGCAAGACAAAAATGGAACAGATGTACCTGGACACTGAGAGACTTAGGTGTATACAATATTTTCTGAATGAAACCAAGAAACTTACACTGGCTTGACGGTGGTCAGTTATATACCCCTTCAGTTCCAGCGTGCCTGTTTAGTCACTCTCCTCTCCCCACCCTTCCCTACTTGGCTGCTGTTTCAAACTTTGCCCTTCCCCAAATTTGGATTTTTATTACAAATATAAAGCTCTTTCAACTTCAGGAAAAACTGAAGTCAGGACAGAGGAGGTGGAGAATTAATTCCAGGGCATTTTCATCAGTCCCTCACCTCTCAGGTGCTTACAGTTGGCCCTGCCAGGCCTGGAGAAAGTCCTGAGGTGGTAAGATAAAGACTTAGGCTGTGGATCAGCACAGTATGGTGAGGCCAGAGGCCAGAGGCAGGGCACCAATTGCTCCTAGATACCCTTTCTCTACCACACAGGTAAAGCAGTTGTTATCAGATTTCATCCTTACCACAGCCCTTCAAGGGAGTGATTTTTCCCTTCTTTGTTAAAATTTTTTTTTACATATTAGCATATAGTAACTGTACAGATAAGATACCTTTGACATTTACATATGTGCTTACAAGATATCTTAATTAAGTCACCCCTCAATCATCCTCCTTCATTCTCCCTCCCCTCCTTAGAACAACTTCGACAGGTTTCATTGCTCTATTTTTTCAGATATACAAAGTACAACCACAATTTTTGCCCTCTTTACTCTTTATGTTTACTGTCCCCCCGCCACTGGTACCCACCCCTGGATGGGATCTGTTTTATCTTCCTGTCCTTCATTTTTTTAAAGTGTATATTAATTGTTTGAGGAGGTATTTCACAGCTGTATATACTGACTTTAGTCAGATGAGCCCCTCTGCTTCTTACTCTTTCTCTCACCATTCCCCTATTATTCAACAGTTATAGTGCATTTCCTTATATTATCTTCCTATATCAATGCATTGTGTTTCAATATTACTCACTCTCTATTATTCTCTCTTCCTCTCCCACCAAGTAGGCCAGGCTCAGAAGGATAGGAAGAGGCACTAGGAGGTCCATCATTTGTCCAATGTCATGCAACCTGTGCTGGTCCACATCCCTAGTTATGCCTCCTCCCTCCCTCCCTCCCTCCCTTCCTTTCTTCCTTCTTTCTTTCTCTCCCCTTCCCTCCTTCCCCCCTCTCCTCTTTCTTTCTTTCTCTCTCTCCTCTCTCTCCCTCCCTCCCTCCCTCCTTCCTTCCTTCCTCTCTATCTCTCTCTCTCACTCTCTTTCTTTCTCTTTGAGGTAGGGTCTCACTGTGTTGCCCAGGCTGGTCTTCAACTCTTGGGCTCAAGTAATTCTCCTCCCTCAACTTCCCAGGTATCTAAGACTAAAGCTGCATGCCACCACACCTGGCTCTCCCCCTGGTATTTTTTGATCCATAGTTGGATGAATCTGCAGGTGTGAGATCTGTGCATATAGAGGGTCAACTATACAACTAAGACTGGAAAGACTGGGTCATATGGTGATTTTGTGTTTAATATTTTTGAGAAACTATTAGAATAATTCTCAGGGAGTTTCCTCTCCTCTACATCCTTAAATGTTAATATTTCTTGAGATTCGAAGCCTGGCTGCCCTCTCCTTTCTCATTGATACTCTATCTTAAGGCCTATCATCTGTACTCATTGCTTTAATTACCATCAAAATGTCAAGGATCTCCAGGCTTCTACTCTGAGCTCTAGACCAACCTGTGGACCACATGCCTGACCTCTGTCCTTGTTTGTCAGACCCTCCAAAATCATTAATTCCAGGTAAAGAAACTGGTAAAGCCACCAGCTTTACCAGTTTCTGTGGTGGTCAGTGTAGCACCACCATCCATTTGCATACCCCAATCAAGATGACCACCCCCTCCCTTTTCCTATCCTTCACCAATTCCTATTGACTTTCTAGAGGACCTTTAATTTGTCCTGTTTTCTCTCCACCACTACCACCCTGTTTATAATTTCATAGATACACTGGCTTGGGTAACTGCATCAAACCTTCCTCTGGACTCTCTGATCAACTCTTTACACTGTAGTAAAAGAGATTCCTCTTTTTTTTTGTAACTGTTTGGGAGGCAGAAGATCACAGTCTGAGGCCAGCCTGGGCAAAAGTGTGACACCCTATCTGAAAAACAAACTAAAAAGCTAAAGTACTGTGGGCCTGGCTCAAGCAGTAGAGCTCTTGCCTACCAAGCAGGAAGCTCTGAATTCAGTCCTCCATACCACCAAACAAGAATAAAAGCAGATCAGCCAGGAGGGTTAACATCCTTAAGGATGACTGTTCATCCTCCCCACCCCAGGCTTGCCTTCAGTCACGCTCTTCTTCGCTCTGGCCACACTGGCCTCATTTTCCCTCAGATCTCCTACTTCAGGGCTCTATATGTCTGATCCCTCTGCCAGCCCATTGCCTCAGGAACCCCTTCACCTCTTCCAGTCTTCATTTCTGTCTTCTTTATAAAACCTCCCTAACTTGAAGATAAGATCAAGTTTCCCCATGACATCTTCTGGCCCTCACCACATTCATGCAATTATTAATGGGGTTCAGGACACAACATCCCAAAATATGACTATAGGAAACTAGAATATGGTCCCCTAAGATATGCCTCTATAGTGTACTGGTATTTTTTTGAGAAACCACAGACACAGAAGCTTTGAAAGCTGCCTGTTTGTCAGAGAAACTTACATCTGTAAAGGATATCTCCATTTATAAGATTGTTTCCCTCTCCCCACCAGGAAGAGGAGGATGATCAACAGACTCTGACTGATGGAGAAGGCACCGAAGTAAATCTGCACGAAAAAGCTTATCTTTTTACTGGATTTTACCTGGAGGTATAGGTCATACCAGGCTTTTCCTTTGACCGTCTCATAATTTACTTCCACTCACCCCTCAGCCTCCATCCCCATTCTTTTTGGCAGTTTAGGATAATACAAAAGCCCCAATCAACCAACCATACCTTTGAGTCTCTAGTTTTATGTATACCTGTAATGAAACTTGTTTTTCCTCTCATTAATCTGTCTGATATCAATTTAACTAATAAGCCAGTCAACCAAAGAAACTAGAGGGCTAAAAGAAAGCAAAATTTCCTCCTATCTATTAATTAATGTCTGCCTTTCCCTGGACTATGAGTTTATGAGGAGTGGAGCAATGTCCGTTTTGTTGCCTTTTCTGTAGGCTTTAACTTACAAAGTGACAGCCAGAAGGGCAATACTCTCTAGATAGCTGTTAAATTAATGAACTCATAACAAGAAATGGTGGAGCTCTAATTCAAAACTGAGTTCATATACTTCTCTTTCCATCACTTTTTTTCCCCACGAGAATGGGAACATCCTTGAAAACATGCAAGCTTGGAAAGAAGCAGAAACAAGGAGGAAAACCAATTGGCTGGGTCCCAGAATGCTGTCAGGGATGATTGTTCTTTGTGCTCCATTCTGAATGGGAAAACAGCTTTTGAAGGGAAAAGGAGGGATGCTCCAAGCAGGAGGCAAAACCTAATGTACCCATTCTCACTGTCACCATAGCACATCATAGCTTTAAAATACATAGAACCTGTCCCCCTTTATCGAAGTCATTGTGGACAGAAGGCAATTGGATGAATGAATGAGTTAAATGAACGAACAGATGTAGAGAAAAGTATGAATGGAGCTGTCAGGATGATCCAGGGTGGATCATCCCAGACCTTTAGATATGGTGCTAAAGAACTAATTTTCTGTAGAGCTAGGACACACACAGAGCCCAGGCCTCTGTCTCCATTTCTTGCCCACTAGGAGCCATTCCTAGAGAGGCTGGAAGCAATATAGATGTAAATGATTGTAACCCACACTTTGTAGTACTAAGATAACTTAAAGAACATGAAAGTTTAGTTCTTCCCAGATAAGGTTTGTGACGACAGTGGGAAGAGAGACAGAGCCACGCACTTACACCCCAAGAAACACCTCCACAGGATGATTTTAACAGCAGAAATCACGGGAAGTTTTAAATTACACCAGAACTAACATCTCCAGATCAGCTCGAAGGAGACCTGGAGTTGCTCATTCCTTCTTCAGGGTATGTTGAACCCTTCCAGCCCCGGTTAAGGGGTGTGAACAGTGGGGAACATCGCCGGATGTCTGACACCAACTCAGGAAGTTAGTCTGAGTGAGACCCAGCCCTGCCCTCACTTTTGGCCACAGCAAGTAGCTGGCACTCACCCAAGGGCAGAACCATACTGGATGGAGCCTCTTGTGTCCCTGGTCTTCTCGCCCTTTCCCTGGGCAGGCAGGCCGGAGGTGACCGCTAGTCCTAATGCATCGTTATGCTTGTCTTCCCTTGCAGCCACCAGCCCTGCTTCTAAAGGCAGCTGTAAGTTCTTCTCGACTGTGCAATTGCACCCGTAGGATGTCAGTGGTGTGTGTGTGTGTGTTGGGGGGGTTCCTTCCTGTTTCTGTGAGGTGATGTTGTCTCGGTTCATTTCCTCTCTGTGTCCCTTTTTTCTTTCCTCTGTCAGACTTTCTGATAGGCTGAGGACACTTTGCCATTTAGGTAAGAAATCTAGTTCTCATGGGCCCATTTGTTTTTGTTAGAAAGATGAATGATCTTTAAATTAACATTGCAATGAAATTCTGATAGGATGACTTTTTTTCTCAGTTCCTTAAGCCCCTTTCTGAGCTTCATTGAGGCAAAATATAGGTTATTGAAGGCCAACTGAATTGATATTTTAGGTTTTTTTTGATTTGTCCCAGAGGGTTTCACTATAAATTGACTTGAAACATTCTTTCATTTGACAAGTGTTTATTGAGCTTGTCCACTGTAATAAGCGTGGTGCTGGGGACTGGGTACGCAAATGGAGACTCTCTTACTTGTAATGTGGTATGGAAGCTTAGATTTGTGGATATGGAAGGGAATTCAAAAGCCACCTAGCCCCAATTCCTTTGTCCTCTTCTGCACTTGTGAGCAGTTAATAGGCTCTGAGGTGAACCACCTGGGTTTGAATTATGGCTCTAGACTTTGCATACTTTTGGCCTCCCGTGCCTCAGCTTCCTCATTTGTATAATGGAAATGATCATAAGGGTGTTGCCAGAATTGAATGAACTAGTGTCTGGCACAAATAAAATAAGCACTGTGTAAGTGTTTGCTATTATTTATCAATGGCAAATTTGTATTATTATCTGCTGATGCCTTTGCTTTTTCCCTTCATTTTCTGCTTCCCACTTCTCTCTGGTGCCTAGAAAATGACTTGTGGACCTAGTGAGTTGAGAGGAGAGATGGTTTGAACAACGAATGCTTCTAAGTAATCCAATGATTCCTTATGCTTTGATTTAGCGCCATCATGAAGACAGGGAAGGTGCTGTCCCTCTTTATCACACTCTGCCCAGGCTGCGTGTTGTATTCCTGTGACTTCTATTTTTTATTATTATTTTTGTGATAGGAATTGAATCCAGGGCCTTGAGCACACATTATATTACAAAGCTACTCCTCCAGCTCCTACTTAGTTTCGTTTATTTCCTGTAAGACTTTGCTGAAATTCAGATTCATGCCATTTATCTTAAAATGTTTGAGCTGGCATGAATCTTAGTAAAGGATATTCTGCCCATAAAAAGATGCCACTTTCACAATGGGGATACATCAAGAAGATCCTTTGAACATTGTCTTTGGAATTAACAATGAAAGACAGGACTGTAAAATAGTACAGTGTGTGTGGGGGGGTACTTGTAGAAGGGGGGAGAGTGAATGAAGGAGATGAAGGTGAGGGAATATGGTTGATGGGCTTTATATACATATGCAAAATGGAATAATGAAAAAACAATGCCATTTTAAACAAATAAAGAAAATAAACAATCAGATTAAAGCCTTCTCTAGTTGAGATTTAGAGATGCAACAATAACAGGAACATATATGTCTATTTTCAGACATACATTGCATCCATAAGTGAAATTAGCAATATCCATCAAATGGTAACCTGTTTTATTCTTTCCCTCTTCCTCTCTTTCTTACAAAACCATTCTTAAACAAATGTTAAGTGTCAGAATCTCTTCTAGATTCTACGTAGAATTATTCTCTTGCCAAGTGTTTATTTTATAGCTTAGAGTCTTCACAATAAACTGATACAAATAAAGGAAAAGTACAGATAGCACATTTGCATTTTCCATTATACCATATCAAATGGTTATTTCCTTCATCAGGCTTTTAGGCTTAATATATAATTTAAATATATAAACTAGAAAAATATAATTTACATTTCTGTAGCTTACACTCAAATATAAGTACTACTAAATTTTTCCTGTAAGCCAATATGCTAAAAAAAAAAAAAAAAACACCAAAAAAGCTCAGGTTGGTCTCCTTTTATATAAAGTACTAGAGTTTTACAGCTTAATTGTCCTTAACTCTGTTATTTATCTACATGACTTCTTTTTCCACTTCAAGTTGCCTGATTCTCCTACTGCTGAAGTTTTCATAACGGAGAAAGCACATCTTTTTAAGGCAAATGAGAAGCTGAGACCTTGTCCAAAATCAGATCAGAATTATTTTAGAAAAACAAGTTAAATATTTTTCTCATTTAGAAAACAGGGAAAATGTCTGTTTCCCTACTTACAATCTTGGATGTTTTTCTTCTTTTTTTCTTTCTTTTCTTCTCTTTGATTAGTGGCAGGTTATTCTGCTTGTCAAAATTTTTGACAAACCACAGATGGTTCTGGCAAAAAACAAACGACTGTAATTTCTAATTACTCTATCCAATGAAGGCAGTGTTTATATTTTCATCTTCATTTAAACAGTCTTCTTGACTGCTATAATTAGCTCCTTCATTCCATCTCAGTTAGCTGGAATCCTGGTTAGCACCACAAGATGGTTTGTAACTACCTGTTAAGCAATGGTCAAACCCCAGGCAACTGCTTTGAATTTGTCATGGATGTTTGGTCTAAGGAGCAACTGTTGCATATGGTGGAGGATGAGGGGTAGGAAAGGGAGAAGTGAGGAAAATGTTAAGTGAAATGGTTGAAAAAATTCTAAGGCCAAGGTGTGCATGTGTGATTAGGATTCCATGTGTTCGACTCATTTCCTTCCATGACTGAAAACAGTATTAGCCATGGGAATCAGCAGCCCACTAAGGCATTTAAGTGAATATGCTCAAGGGTTGGTTTGGCAAGTTTTAAGAGCAAAGTTCTCTAGTATTTTGAGGCATGCTTCGTCCTTGCTCAGGAATGGGACTCAAGTCTTGTGATTTTCATTTTTATATGAGGAAATCAGTTTATAGAACAACTATGTGTATCTGTAGACTCCCGGGAGCATTCCTGAGCATTCTTCATACATCAATCCATAAGACACAGGCCCAGCTTCAAGAAACGTAAAGTATAGTGGGGAGACAACCTAGTGAGATAACTGTTCCCATTAATTGATTCACTCTTGATTTTAAAAACACTTAGTGTAAACTTTAATAAGTGGGAAAAAAAGTGAAAGAGAAACAGTGCTCTCCTTAGAAGAGTTCAGTCTAGTAGTGTCATAGTATGGACATAGCACCTGGAATTTAGATGTTGGAAAACTTATAGCTGAATTCATATGTTGATGGTATTTGGAGGTGAAGCATCTAAGAGGTAATTAATATTAGATGAGATCATGAGGATGGACCCCCCAAGATGGTGCTAAGTGTTTTTATAAGAAGAGGGAGTCAGGGGCTGGTGTCTTGTGTCTATAATCCCAGCTACTTGGGTGGGTGAGATCAGGAGGAACATGGTTTGTGGCCAACGGGGACAAATAGTGTGTGATACTCCATCTCCAAAATAACCAGAACAAAATGGACTGGCGGTAGGGCTCAAGCAGTCACGTGCCTGTTTTGCAAGTGCAAAGCCCTGACTTCAAACCCAGTTCCAAAAAGAAGAAGAAGAAAAAGAGGAAGGAGGACCAGTTTAGCATACTTGCTCCATCTTGCCACATGACGCCCTCCACCATGTCAGGATGAGACTTGTGCTCTTTTGCCCTTGCCAGATGTCAGCAGATGTTGGCACCTTGCTCTTGGGCTTCCCAACCTATGATCCAAATAAACTTCATTATTAGCCATGGGGAATCATCAGCCCACTAAGACATTTACATTAAATTTAAATTACCCAGTCTTAGCAATTTTGTTTTAGAAACAGAAAATAAACTAAGAAAAGTAGGCATGGAAGAATGAGCCTCGTCTACCTCCCTCATCTCTTCTCTTGCCAGCTACAATCTTTTTCTCTCCTTTGTGAGAGAGCCTCTTCTCTCTCTTTTTTTAATATAAATTTTTTATTAGAATATATTCATTATACAAGGGGAGATTTGTAGTGACAATTCCAATTAGACTTATATTGTACATTATTTACATTTCTGCCATCATCTGTCCCCCTCAGCCCCCTCCCCACCCCACTTAAAGCAATTGCAAGAGGTTTTTTAGCTCTGTTTCATATAGGTATATGAAGTCCATCTGCCATATACGGTCACCTTAATCTCCTTCATTCATCCTTCTCTCTCCCACTAGTATGCCCCCACACACTGTGCCTATTTGACAGTCCTGGTTTTCATTATTAATAGTTAAGTTGAAGTTCAAATATATGCCCACTGTGGGTGTGCTTTACTTTAGTCTGTACAATCCTGCAAATACTCTCCCTTACCTCATTAGAGAGCATATTCTCTTTTGCCTATACTATTTCCCAGTCTGTCAGCAGTGTCCTGGAGTCTTCAGCCCTCACATTACCAGACCCCCATGACCAGCTATTTCAGCAGCACATAGGATGCTGATTTCCTTGCTCTGCTATTCTGAGTGTTCATCTTGCTCATCTCCAGTTCTAAATGGAAGACTAATCTGCTTTCTTGCATGCCCCAGAGCTACCCAGACTCACTGTGCAAAGTTAACAAAGGGCAATTTGTTTCTTTGCAAATTCTCCCCCCAAAACCTCAACCGAGGCCTTTCTGCTATTCAAGAAGCTTCTTAGTCATCTCTCATTATGTCAGGTCTTCCACAGCATCCTTTACAAGGTTTTCTCATTCTTCAGAAGCTCGGAGATCAGTCCTTACTTTACATCTGGGTAAGTACTCCTGACATGAGCTCTTTTAGGATTCTTCATGGTCCCTGCAGAATTTGTCTACTGCTCCCATCCTCTGCATATTCGTAAATCCTTTGAATTACAGCTTCTAACATTACTACTTGATTAATAATGAATGTAATATCTACTAATTTTTCTATAATTTTAAAATCTACAAAAAAGCAAGATTCTCTTGTATAAAACTAACATTGCAAGTAAAGCTTAAGTACCTACTGACCATCAAACCTAATTCAGTTCCCTCCTTTGCTCTGCCCATGGATCCTGCTTTCTGCTTGATTTGTATGCTACCAAGACATTTTCTGGGCATTTGTATAAATACATGCAGCCACCATCAGTCTGCAATTGTGCACACCTGCAGTCCTGACCTTGAATATGCTGTGTGCACAAAGCATGACACCGAAACCATTGTGCTCTACTTCTGAGGGAACCACATAAACTGCCACTCTGGTTTCACATGAAATAGTAACTTAAAAACAATGTCTTATTCATGAGAATAGAAAAAACTGTGTTGTTAGTTTCAATAGTTGAACGATTAGACTCCTTAGTTTACTTGACTTTTTCTCACTTGCTTCCTAAATGTTCACAAACCTAGATTTACATCCAACTGGTTTACCTCTGAGTACATTTTCCACATCAACTACTAATAGTCCATCTCCATTTGATAAGGTGAAGTTTTGGATTTTCCTTGTTTTTTTACATTATCATATGATAGTTGTACAGGGGTTATACATTGTGATATTTATATATGTGCTTATAATATATCTGAATTAGTTTCATCCCCTCTGTCATTCTCCCTTATCTCCCTTCCTCCCTTCTTAGAACAATTTCAATTTCAACAAGTTTCATTGCTCTATTTTCATACATGTATACAACGTACATTCTTTCACCCTCTCCCCACCCACTGGTACCAACCCCCCTGACCAGTTTTACCTTCCTGATCTTCATTTTTAAGTGTACAGTGATGGTTCAAGGCAGTTTTGCCTTGGTATTTCACGTGTGTATATATTGTACTTTAATCAGATTAATTG